CCTGCTTACTGGCTGTTCACCAACCTCTTACTGGCTGTTTACTGGCTGTTCACCAACCTCTTACTGGCTGTTTACCGGCTAGATAGAAGCGCTGTGCCGTTTCCTCTCTCTGAGGAGAAGCAGTCACCCAGAGGGTTGGTATTCAGACGGCAGCAGCAGGAGGAGCTGTGGAGAAACATTCCTGCTCCTCTGGAGTTCCCGGAGCTGGAAGAACCTTGGTTCTCAGGCTCCTGGGAACCTCAGGATGTGGGAGGGGCTACTGGCTGCAGATAGTCGTAGGTTTGAATCCCTGAGGATCAGAGTTCTTCTGCGCTGCTTTAAACCTTCTGGCTGGTTTTGAACTGACTGGCTTTGATCTCCAGGAAGTGGCGCCGCGCTTCCTGGAGCAGCAGCTCAGTGAGGTCAACCACAGAGACGACGGCGGGTACGGCGCCCTGCATGAGGCCTGCGCCCGCGGCTGGCTCGCCATCGCACGGCTTCTCATCCGCCACGGGGCCGACGTCAACTGCTGCTCTCAGGACGGAACCAGGTTAGGGTCGACCTGTTTGAATAGATCTGGTTTACCTAGAATGAGGACATATTGAGCTATAGATCTAGGATAGAAGGACTGTATCATCAGCATATAGGAACGCATCTATGATCTGTTTATATATAGAAAATAAACTCCATTTGCTGTGGGATCAGTTTGCTGCAGAGAGAAAAGTGTGGTCAGCATATTGAGGAATAACCTCAGATTGAAGTTTGTTTCCTAGAATCAGGCGGGTTAACGAACTGGTTTTTCTCTTCAGGCCGCTTCACCACGCGGTGGAAAACGACCATGTGGAGGTGGTCCGCTTCCTGCTGGCCTGCGGCGCCGACCCCACCCTCACCACTTACTCCGGGCGAGGGCCGCTCAGCATGAGCCACAGCGCTGCCATGGCAACCTTCCTGGAAGGTAAGACACTGAGAACAGAGCGGCGGCGGAGCGACGGACCCAGCTGCTCTGAGCTGGGAGAACGAAGAACAGCTGGAAATGTGCCGTACGGCGGCGTCTGTCGGTCTAATTAGAGCGAGCACACGGTGGTAACGTTCCCGAGGTCACGTCCTGATGTGCCGCTTCCAGTTTATGGGAAAATCTCTAGACGTGAAGAAGAGGAGCGTTTGTTTCTGGGAATCAATAAGTGCTGGGTTGTGTGTGTGTGTGGCGGCGGCGGCAGGCGCCCTGATTTCCATTTCCTGCCCGCATTTCTTCCTCCATCCTTTCTTCCTCTCCTCTCTTAATGAGGCTTAGCTGCTGAATCCCAGAACAGCTTCCTGCCAGCATCTGTCTGCTCGAGCGCTCTGATTGGTCGCCTCCCTAATGGGCCTTAACTCTGCGCCTCTCTACCTGCAGACTATCTGTCAGACATCCAGGGAAGGTCGGAGGGCGATCCGGGGATCTGCTGGGAGTTCCATGGCAGCTCTGTGTGCGGTAAGTTATCAGAAGCCAGTAGAACGTGAGGAAGACCCTCCCCTGTGGAAGGGAAGGGCGGTCAGGGTTCCACCAGGGCAGAAGGTAGACCACTGGATGAACCAACAACCAAATGATTGCTGTTGCTCCTCAGAACCGGCCAATCAGGAGGGAGCGTACAACATTCTGGCTGACCCACCTGGACCAGAGGAGGATGAGGAGGACCAAGAGGAAGACCTGGATGAGGAGCAGGGAGCCAGGAGGGAGGTGTTTGAGTTTGAGCTCTCAGATCGACCTCTGCTGCCGTGCTACAACATCAAGGTGTCGCCATCTGAGGGGTGAGTCAGCCGGTTACACCATGGAGGGGTTAGCTGGGAGCTAACTGGTAACGCTGGTACGCTAGCTAGTAAACCCGGAGCCTAGCTAACATTCCTGGAGCCTAGCTAGCATACCTGGAGCCTAGCTAGCATACCTGGAGCCTAGCTAACATTCCTGAAGCCTAGCTAGCATACCTGGAGCCTAGCTAGCATTCCTAGAGCCTAGCTAACATTCCTGGAGCCTAGCTAACATTCCTGAAGCCTAGCTAACATCCCTAAAGCCTAGCTAGCATACCTGGAGCATAGCTAACATCCCTAAAGCCTAGCTAGTGCACCTGGAACCTAGTTAGTGCACCTGGACCCTAGCTAGAGCATTTGGAGCCTAGCTAGCACATTTGGACCCTAGCTAGCGCACCTGGACCCTAGCTAGTGCATTTGGAGCCTAGCTAGCGCATTTGGAGCCTAGCTAGTCTATTTGGACCCTAGCTAGTGCATTTGGAGCCTACCTAGCACATTTGGTCCCTAGCTAGTGCATTTGGCCCCTAGCTAGCGCATTTGGCCCCTAGCTAGCACATTTGGACCCTAGCTAGCGCATTTGGACTCTAGCTAGTGCATTTGGACCCTAGCTAGCTTGCAGAGAGCGTCCTGATCCAGGCAGGAGGCGTCTCCTAAAGGGTCCGCCGTGCAAAGAGCGTCCTGATCCAGGCAGGAAGCGTCTCCTAAAGGGTCCGCCGTACAGAGAGCGTCCTGATCCAGGCAGGTAGCGTCTCCTAAAGGGTCCGC